CGGCCCACAGACAGGAGTGGTTGTATACTACCCCGGGAATAATAAGCATTTGTTACAGTGGAAATTAGACCATTATAGATGGCCTACTTCCCCTCCTATTTCTTCTCTTCAAATCCTCCTTCCACTCCTATGTTGTTAGACGCAATATTACATCTTTCATGCTATGTCGTGTCTGATAATAGGACAAAGTTGTGCGTGAGTGTTTTATATTGTACATATGATAATTCATACTCACATTTCTCATTAAAGAGCTCGTCACGCCGAAGACCCGGGTTCGATTCCCCACATGGGTAAAATGTGTGAAGCCCATTTCTGGTGTCCCCCGCCGTCATATTGCTGGAATATTGCTAAAAGCGGCGTAAAATCAAACTCACTCACTCGTTAAAGACAAGAGCCGGATGGTAACTTGACTTTATTCATCACCCGATGTCGTCACGTTGAATCTCCAAGGTTCTATTCCTGCCATGAGTACAACGTCAAGGGCCTGTCTTGATGTCCCTTGGTACTGATGGAATACTGCTGAAGGGTGTTTACGTCCATACTTAATCACGGTGAAAACAGGACTTCTGTTTTTCCACAAAACATTAATTTTAGACACAACACAACGTTGTTCCAGATTGCGGGGCGGTGGGGGTAGCCTGGTGGTTAAAGCGTTCGCTCGTCATGCTAGTTCGATTCCCAACATGGGTACAATGTGTGAAGCCCATTTCTGGTGTCCCCCGCCGCCATATTGCTGGAATATTGCTAAAAGCGGCGTAAAACCATAGTCACTCACTCACTGTTCCAGATTGCAGGACAACTGTGGGTGGACAGGTACTGCTTGATACCCTTTGTGTGATATGTTGCTAGGATAAGGCGTTGATTAAGCCCTCGTCTCTTGGTCGAGCACAAACTCTAATACTAAAGGGGAATATGGACAATATAGATAATAGTCTGGTCGAAACTCAGGATTGCGGATTATGTGTCACTCGCTAATAATCAATTTACACATGACAGATTATCTGTAATTATAAGATGGATAAGTTCTTTTAAATACCTTTTACGACTTCCGATTTCGTACTTTCACGGTGCAAGGTACACCCAACTCATTCACTCACTCATCAACCCAATCACTCTATCCCTCTTCACCCAATCACTTACTCACTCACTAACCCACTCACTCATCCAATGATTTGCACACTCACCCATGCAGTCACTCACTCACTTATCAAATCACCACTCCCCAAATCACTCAGTCTATCCATCACTCACCCAATCACTTACTCACCAACCCAATCACTCACTCACTTACCAAATCAGCACTCACCCAAACACTCACTCACCCACTCACAGTAAGTCGTTGATAAAACCCTGGTTGACCACCACTGTAGAGATGCTCCTGCACGATAAGGAGTGAGGAATGAGTTCTAGGTCGTGGTAATCAGCGTCCCCATTACCGATAACGTGATGTTTTTGTGACCATCACCTTTAACATGCAAATTCGAGACCCTCTATAATATAAAAAACACACAACCCTCTCATACATTCACTTAACGTGCATAGAACGTTTAAATAGCGTTGGAACATAAACGTATGCGAGAGACCAAAATTAGGAAAAAAAGAGAGAGATATATTTCAATATCAGATTCAGCTCTTGAAGATAATTCCTTCCCATGGCGAAGTTTACCCTTTCTTTATTGGATAATTTCAGTATTAAGAAGTCTGAGTGCAAAACGGAAGATGTGAATATTATTATATCGACTGACCGAGGAATAACACCACTACACATCTCCTAATCCCCGGGATAATGTCACAACGCCCAAATCGCCTCTCTCATCAGCTTCTTGACACACAAAACCGTTGTGTCGTCTGCTCCTTCCAAATACCGTCTGCCCTCTCAGCGAGTCTTGCGATACCTCTTCAGAAATAATCGATATGATCTCTCGGGCCAAAGTCATACCAATTCTTTAGGAATCTAATGAAAAGTCGATTCGGTTATCAGAAATCCAAGCCAAGCGAGGCAAATTTTCTGTACAGATAGACGATCGGAGTTTTGGTCACGATCGCAAACCAAGATGAAACCTTTTCAAATTTGTTAGTATTCACGAGCGCGTTTGCCTAGTTTGCTCGCCTGGGTAAAATGTCGATAAATGAAACTCTGCCCCCTTATACATGGTCCTTAATGGTGAGACATATTGCTGCCTAACGTAACCGGCGATCACAAACTAGCGCCATTGGTAATCCATCAAATCGCGCCTCCTCTTGCTCGAGCTGATCCATGGAATGGTTTATAACCTTCTGAAGAAACTAACGGCAAACTAATTGTCCCAATGCCCCGACACACATAACTCAGCGGACAGTTAATGTCAGATTTTCTAAAGCCAGGGAGCACGTGTTATTAAAACAATATTTGTTTCTGGGAAGGTGCAGGTTGGGTTGACCCATGTCGCTGTAAATTTACTTAAAGGTAGATATACTACTCAAACGAAATTGAAATACACATGATTTTTTCATGGGTCTACAGTTAGATAGGCTGGCGGTTGTTGCAATTCACCGCCTTCCGATGTTCAACTTGTTGAGCAGGATCGATGCTGGAAACACTGTATGGCATTACTGAAAGCAAACCGGTGTATAAAGGTCCCTACTAAATGAGAGGGCTAATGAGACTGGCCCATGTCAGAGTGGCCGTCAGAGCATATGGACACTTCCATGGGCTGAATGACGCTAGTGTAATGTTGATATCGCAAACTGATAGTCAGAGGAAATATAGACTTGCTTCATTTAGAGCTTTAATTAGCATTGCAGAAGCTGCAATGCAGAAGGGTAAATGATGCTGTTCAGGGACTGTGAGACATACATACATACATACTAACATTTGTATAGCGCCGATATCCAGCTCAGCTGCTCAAAGGCGCTTTTGGTTTTTTTTCCCTCGATCACTGGATGTCAATCTCAACGGCACGCCGTATTATAGATCTCAACTCTTGCAGCCACTAGGCGCACCGAGTTAGTGTAGCTTTCCCATCCTTACGAGGTACCCGTTCACAGCTGGGTGGACTGGGACACATAGTCACAGTACTTTGTCCAAGTTTACTGCACGTTGCTGTACCCGCAACTAGGTGTTTGCACGTATTCATGTGGCCACCATCTTGTCATATACCAACGGATTCGTGGGTTCTTTTAAGTGCACAGGGTTGTGTACTGTAAACTAGGGTTTGTGACAACACTGAAAGAGTCTGCACACAAAGTTGACTCCAAGGTTTTTACACCCGGTCACAGGTGGGCTCGATCCCGTCACCTCAAGCTCGCTGGATCACTAGGCTGGCCCTTTAGCCAGTTCGCCCACCACGCCCCCACTCTGAGACAGACTATCAGTCTGGCAGAAATACCATTTGTGCGCTTGTTTCTTGTTTAAAGCCGCACTCAGCAATATTCCAGAGGTATGCAAATAATCGAGTCTGGACTAGACAATCCAGAGACTGACATCATGAGCATACGAATATATGTGAATGCATGCTTGTTTGATGTGCTTGCAACTTCCGGTGCTTACGGCTACACCTATAGCACAAGTCTACAAGTACCTCAATCTCTACAATCATCTACGATGGACAAAAAAACTAGTGGCCTTCCCTTGTCTTATACGTTCCATGTGCAACTGCCACCTTAACGCTGTCGAGTTTGGACCAGTTACTGACATAATGAGCAAATTCTCACGTTAAACAGGCGTATGGCGATACGGAAGTCCCTGAACCTGGCCACCTGATCCCTATATTCGCCCACGACATCGACAACGGATGCTGAGAACCTATCACATAGGTTAGAGCACGAGGACTTGGTTTCTACTGCAATGGTTGAAATGGTTAGTTAGAGAACTGATCGAGTGTTGTCGTGAAAGGTGATTTCGGTTCATTATGTAATCTCGGAAAAAAGTCTGTGAAAAGACATGTTTGTTGTTATTGAAAGTAGTTCCGTCCACTCTTTAACTAACATGTTGGTTAGTTAAAGCACAGACACAAGCAAAGGCTGACTGACTGAGTTTGGTTTTACGCCGCTTTTAGCAATATTCCAGCAACATCACGGCGGGGGACACCAGAAATGGGCTTCACACATTGTACCCATGTGGGGATTCGAACCCGGGTCTTCGGCGTGACGAGCCAACGCTTTAACCACTAGGCTACCCAAACCGCCCCTAAAGCACAGACACAAGCAAAGAAGCTATGCTTTAAATCTTAGTTTGTTGGTGCACTCACTCACACACAACACTCAGCCATATTCCAGCTGTCATTATGTGATTATGAATTTTTCGATCTGGACGAGGCAATCCAGTGATAATCAGCATCGCTCTAAGTAGCTAGGATGCGGTGATATCCTAAGTGAGTGAGTTTAGTTTTACGCCGCTTTTAAACAATATTCCAGCAATATCACGCCAGGGGACACCAGAAATATGCTTCACACATTGTACCCATGTGGGGATTCGAACCCGGGTCTTTGGCGTGTCAAGCGAACGCTTTAACCACTGGGCTACCCGCTGCCCCTGATATCATAAGCCAGTGAGCCTGACCACCTGATCCCGCTTTTCACCTCTTACGAAAGGCAAAGGTTGCTGGCGACCAATTCTATCCCCAATCTAACGAGTCAAGGAGACCACGTGTAACAAATCTAAGGATGTAGGACGTGATTTTGCTGCACCAGATGTGTGTTTATATTACTATTGACTACGACAGTGCATGCCAGAAAATTGGACGTAAATCCTACCAATGGCAACTGGCGTAGAACTAAACTCACCGAGTAACAATCTTGTGCTTTCCATTGCAGTATGGATACCGCAAATAACCCATTTGATGATAAACATGCTCGGAACGGGCAACAGGGGGTTTCTCGTATAACCTTAAACATGCATACATACTGTCACTGCCCGCATCGCAGAGCTGGTGAGTCCAAGGAATTCCAAATGACGTTCGCCCTGTTGTGATTGGCTGGTTATTTTTAACAATCTGCGACTGTTCAACCCTACAAAATGACTTACATGATGAAAGGGAAGTTACATTACTCTTCTGAAGTTCCTCCGAGTCTAGATAAACATTGAGAACCAACGATGACGTAAATTCAACGTTAGAAAAACACCATAAACTTGTCAGAAGCTGGAAGCGGTTAAACTAAGGTCTACAGGTAAACAAATAGTTGGTAAACAAAGCAGGTAATCCGATAATATGCTCGTGATGCGTTGTACAAGAACGTCCCGTTGTACACAGTGCCCGTCAAAACACGCGAACACGACCATGTGACCTCACGTGACCGTGTCTCTGTTTGACCAACGCTGTGTTTCACACATGGGAGCCATTATGTCCAGATTGTATTTCAACTGTCTTACTTTGGATGGTGTTCAAGGGGCCTGGGACATTGTGGTCAGTGGGATGTTTTTGCCCATAAATAAAAGCCTCAATGGGTAAGATTTCCGCACGTAACCCCCATAAATTTTAACCATAAGGGAAAAATTCTTTGAGTGGCACGTATAGATGTCTTTCAGTATATTCAGATACAGTTAAAGAAACATGTGAAAGTCATCCTTATCAGATGAGGAATATAATTCAAGTGACAGGATTTGACTAGAATGAAATTTAAGGGGGGATACGGGCGGAAGTTTTTCCCCTCAATGGTGCCATCATATCACAATTAAGTACAATCAAAATGTAAAAATGATAACTATATTTACATTTTTAATAACAGCAAAATGACACAATTATTACAGTGCATACTTGTGTTATATAATGAAACATATATTACACTGAATCAACACATGCACATACTATCATAACACAATAATACAGAAAAGTACCATGCATCTTCTATTACATAACAATGTACCCATATTGTACAACACTGAACTCCTTAACAGTCATAAAACAGGGTACTATGGAATTCTATATATAGTAGCAGTATGATACTGGTCAAAAGAAGTTAAGGAACATCATATGTTACATGGGCAGATCCAGGAATTTTGAAAGGGGGTGGGTGGTGGTTCAGGGACTTCGAACCCCCTGAACCCCATTGGCTCCGCCAATGGAAAAAAAATCTTCAATGTGGTCTTAAGTCATTTTCAAAAGGGGGGGTTCGAAAACCCCTCCCCCCCCTGGATCCGCCAATGTGTTAGTACACGACAGTTAATATACTATTCCAAAAAAGAAACGAATAACCCAGAAATCTGTTGCGAAAATGTTGTATTTTCAAACATGTATAACTCGTCCACAAATAGACTTTAGTGCATGAACCTTTACATCAGTTTAGGAGAAGGAAATGTCTATACAACCAAGTGGATAATTATATATAATGGAGACGTTGAGCGCCATGGTGACGATGTAGCACGGGCCTGATGTCGGATCTCCTGGCTCTCAGTCCAATCTCTCTCAGTCCAATACAGTTTGACTGGATATCCTCCGAAGTCCAGGCACCCTGGCTGTTGTGCTCTCACCTGTGGCAGTACACTCACGCACATGTAGTACGCGGATGTACCGATATTGGGCTACAGTGGTAACTCGAGGTCTGCCTGTTCAGGGATGGTCATTTGTTATACCTGTTTGGTTGTAACGAGCTGTAAGCCGTGATATCGTGCTCAGACTAACATTCAGTCTCCTGGTAACAGAAGATTGGTAATCTCCAGCGTGCATTCTTTCAATGGCGATGTTCCTTGTCGCAGAGTCAAGACTTGGCGGAGTGATTTGGCCGTGAATCTCCTTCAAAACGAATGCCGATTTCCGAAAGTAGTCTGGATTTTTATAGCCAGACCGTGCACACTCTTTGCTGCACAATTTCAACTGGAAGGTTCTTTCTGTTGCGTTGTGGTGATGCATTTTTAATCCTTGTAAGAAATCTTATCAAAATCAAATGTTTTAGGTAAAGTCGATTTTTGTACTTGTGCAATTGTGTAAAATCATGCTATCAACACTTTTGTTACATATTTTGACGTTTGTTTGAACACAATAGGTAATTAATAGATTTTTAAAAATGCAAAACACCTATGTGTTTCTTTTTTGGGATAGCATATATTGTTACAGATTAAATGCATTTACCTTTAAATGGCTGGTGTTCCTTTACTCCTTTGTTGTAGCGAAATGCTATAATCAGAGCACAAGGCCACAATGAAGTATAGACATAATCATACACTCAGAGCACAAGGCCACAATAAAGTATAGTCAATCTTACAATCAGAGCACAAGGCCACAATGAAGTATAGTCAATCTTACAATCAGAGCGCAAGGCCACAATGAAGTATAGTCAATCTTACAATCAGAGCACAAGGCCACAATGAAGTATAGACATAATCTTACAATCAGAGCACAAGGCCACAATGAAGTATAGACATAATCTTACAATCAGAGCACAAGGCCACAATGAAGTATAGACATAATCTTAATCTTACAATCAGAGCACAAGGCCACAATGAAGTATAGACATAATCTTACAATCAGAGCACAAGGCCACAATGAAGTATAGACATAATATTACAATCAGAGCACAAGGCCACAATGAAGTATAGTCAATGTTACAATCAGAGCACAAGGCCACAATGAAGTAAAGTCAATCTTACAATCAGAGCACAAGGCCACAATGAAGTATAGTCAATCTTACAATCAGTCACACGGCCACAATGAAGTATAGACATAATCTTACAATCAGAGCACAAGGCCACAATGAAGTATAGACATAATCTTACAATCAGAGCACAAGGCCACAATGAAGTATAGACATAATCTTACAATCAGAGCACAAGGCCACAATGAAGTATAGACTTAATCTGAAGTACAATCAGAGCACAAGGCCACAATGAAGTATAGACATAATATAAATCAGAGCACAAGGCCACAATGAAGTATAGTCAATCTTACAATCAGAGCACAAGGCCACAATGAAGTATAGACATAATCTTACAATCAGAGCACAAGGCCACAATGAAGTATAGACATAATCTTACAATCAGAGCACAAGGCCACAATGAAGTATAGACTTAATCTTACAATCAGAGCACAAGGCCACAATGAAGTATAATCAATCTTACAATCAGAGCACAAGGCCACAATGAAGTATAGACATAATCTTACAATCAGAGCACAAGGCCACAATGAAGTATAATCAATCTTACAATCAGAGCACAAGGCCACAATGAAGTATAGACATAATCTTACAATCAGAGCACAAGGCCACAATAAAGTATAGACATAATCTTACAATCAGAGCACAAGGCCACAATAAAGTATAGACATAATCTTGACCGCGAGGTTTAACCCTATTTCCGTCACGGTACAGCATCCTACGCTGTGATGGAAGAGCCTGAAGAATAAAGATACCAAATAGTGCACCGAGTTCTGCAGAATATTACAGAAGGAATTCAGCAAAATGTTGAGGAAGCAGGTATATTCCTTGGTAGAGGCAAGGTGTTAATTTATTCATAGCATTCTATTGATACTATGTGTAATGGTTATAGCCGATTAGGGAGAAAATGGTTCTGATGTTAATTGTGAAAAGTGGCCTCAAGTAGAAGCTTTTGTCAATGTCTGTTGCCGTTTGTATCCACTGTTAGATATTTTGCTCATCGACAAGAGGAAATGAAATGTAGGCACTTCAAGCTGCTGAGCAGAGTGGCTTCCCTTGACTGTGCAAGAATCATATTATTTGGAGTTGAAATCCTGATTTGCCATGATTACGTTTCTAGGATTTTCACCACCATGCCTGGGTTCAAGTGTTCCATCAAAGTTGTAAATTTCTAAGCCCTGCATAAATTTGGGTGTTCATCAAACATTAAGGTGACACTATAAGGGTAATGCTATTTTTGAGGGCATTATCATTTGCAGAAGCCTGAGGTCTTCCATTAACTGCCCGATGAAGGAGGTCAGTTGAAAAAGACCAAGGACTCCTGCAAATGATAATGCCCTCACAAATAGCATTACCATTATTATTGCTAAAATTCATGGAATTTGTGTTGAAAAGAAAAAGGAAACAATGAACAAGTTTGACTGTAAGTTTACTAAAAACTCAACTTCTGACGGGGTTGACTGACCGAATGCAATTACGTCATCTAAGAATTCAAGTGACGTCACAACAGAAGGTGACGATATTCGACCTTGGTCTTTGACAAGACCATAGCCTGCAACATGTCAAACTATGTCAGACACAACTTCAGTTTTCATTTTTTTCAGTGTTCGGTTTTGGTCCAACATCAACGTTAATAGTGCAATTGTTACGGTTAGCACCAGCAAGAAAGCGAATATTACCGCTCTTTAAAGCCCGAATTCGGGTTGCTTTGACTTGTTTGCCCCAGAATATCTGCCAGTCTAAGGCCAATGTCGAATGAACCGTAAGCCCACGCACCCACTATGACGTCACTTGACAACAGAACTGATAGTGGCCCGTCGTTAAGGTTAAGCGGTCCAATATCATTTGCCGCTGCCCGCAAATTTCTGATAATAGGAGGGCAGTTACATGACAATTCCATGTATTTTAGCTATAACTCATGATAACTAACTGGAATACTGTTCAAGGAAGCGTTAAACCCAGATATCTGACTGTTTGACTGACTCATGAACTCACTCACTTATGAACTCATGAACACACTCATTCATGAACCCAAGCGTGAACTCATGAAGAAGATGTGTTACGTCATATGCCCGTGACATCTGTTTCCAATCTCTTTCCAGATGGATGTGAATCCTGCCATTGCACTTGACGGTCAAATTGACCAGTGCTAGTGCCGACAGTGACAGACAGGCAGATACCTACCATCACCAGCTGATCATCAGCATGGGCCAGATAGTTATGAAAAGTTCCACTGGATGTTAGCTTTGCTGTGATTGGTTAGACAGTTTTTAATCTCACAACCTTTTGTTCTGTGAGGATTACTTGTCTGAAACTGCCATGGAGGATTGTACTGAAAGTGACCTTTATAATGCCATGAATGCAGATGACCTTGAGACTCTTCGTGACCTTTTGGCACAGGGAGGGAATGTGGATGAGTTTTATTACAACTTCACAACCAACGATGGTGTTTCCTTGCTGCATCTGGCTTGCGAGAAGGGCAGGTTTGACTGTGTCCGACTCATTGTTGACAGCAATGCCACGATGAACGTGGCAGATCGATGTGGTAGGACTCCTTTAATGTATGCGCTGGCTGCACAGAAGACCGATGTTGCTGAAATCTTGCTGAAGAAGGACCAGGACCTTGTAAATGATGAAGATGTGGATGGATACACTGCCCTTGACCTTGCAGCCATTGATGGCAATACTGAAGGGATCCGTCTACTTGTGCAATATGGTGCAAATGTCAATCACCGCACGTTTGACGGAGTGACGCCGATAATGCGGTGCATCAAAGAAGGAATGATGAAGAACCCTTCGTCTGTTTTGTGGGCACTCATTGAGGGAGGTGCAGATGTTAATATCAAGGATAAGAAATGTCGGAGGTCAGCCTTGCAGGTGAGGTAATAGCATTAAACTTTCAGGTGAGGAAAATGGTTCAAATGTAGCTACACCAATCATTCTTCTTCCTTTATGAATGCCCTGGTTCAATATGGCAAGTTCTTAGCAACTACGACAATTACCCTGATCCACTGGTCAGCAAGTCCATCAATGGCAGCCCATTCCCCATCTGTTAGCCCCATCACTTTTCTCGTACATGATCTGATAAAACTGGAATAAATATAAATATGAGTCAAGAGAATTTTTCTGTAGTACTCTAGGATATAATATTTGAGATACTCAAATATTACAGAATTGTTTTAGGCTGTATTTTTAAGTAACTGTGTGACAGACAAATGTAATTGCATTGGTTGCCGTCGAGTGACAATATCATCTTACTACCGTCAGACGGCCACAATAAAGAAGGATGTCTCTGCGGCTGAGGTTCTTCTGGCAGCTGGCGCCGACATGTATTCTTTGGATTGTGGCGCCAAAACACCTCTGACCAACATGATGCTGCAACATGTACGCATGAGGAATGGTGCCTTGTTCGTCCATGAGGATGTCTGGATGATAATGCTGCTGATGGTGCATGCTGGGATAGATTATAGCTACAGTGTATGCGAGGACGCTGACCCCATGCTGACTGCAGCGCTATTGAAGGCGGAATGTCTGATGCGATTCTTCCTGTCTAATGGTGCCAACCCTGATAAACAAAGTTAGTTCCAATGATTTAGTTGTAAGTGTACATTTGTGTGTTCAGATCTACAGCTGTATTTGCAATTCTACACTTGCATGTACAATTTCATATCGTACTGTACAATGGTATGTATCATTGTACAATTCCATATGTTACTGTACAATGGTATGTATCATTGTACAATTACATATGATACTGTGCAATGGTATGTATCATTGTACAATTACATATGATATGGTACAATGGTATGTATCATTGTACAATTACATATGTTACTGTACAATGGTATGTATCATTGTACAATTCCATGTGTAACCGTACAATGGTATGTATCATTGTACAGTTCCATGTTACTGTACAATGGTATGTATCATTGTACAATTCCATGTGTTTCTGTACAATGGTGTGTATCATTGTGCAATTCTATGTGTTTCATTACAAGGTATGTATCATTGTACAATTACATGTGTTTCTGTACAATGGTGTGTACCATTGTACAATTTTATGTGTTTCTGTACAATGGTATGTATCATTGTACAATTCCATGTGTTTCTATACAATGGTATGTGTCATTGTACAATTACATGTTACTGTACAATGGTATGTATCATTGTACAATTATATGTGTTACTGTACAATGGTATGTATCATTGTACAATTACATGTGTTTCTGTACAATGGTATGTATCATTGTACAATTACATGTGTGTTTCTGTACAATGATATGTTGTATTTTTAATTGTACAACTTTATGTAAAGTTTACAATTTGTGCAATTGTGTAGTTGTACAATTTAATGAAATATTGTACAACTGTCTCTGCATTTGTGTGATTGTGTGTGCAGCTGTACAGTTGTATGTATAATTCAAGCTTTACCAGGCTGTAGGGTCCATGGTCAAAGTGGAAAAAAATTGAAATACTACTCACCATTTAAGAATATTTATGTAATTAAAAGTCTGACAACATATTGGTTTTGTTTTGAGTAGCCTACTTCAAATGATTTTCCATTTTGTATAATTAAAAAACTTAGTTGTAATGAACCAAACTTCTTTCAGTATTTATCTTCATTCCATATCAGTGAAAGTTGTGATCGGTGGACCTATAGACCAAGTAGATTTTATCATGTATTCAATTTAAATATCTCGGAAACTGACAGTCAAGCTGTTACTGCACAGACCTGCTCCTACAATGGCGACATCAAAAGTTCTTTAAGCGGTACGGAACTGATTTTCATCATGAAATCCAAAGTGGTCTTGTTTAAAACTTATTCAAGACTCTTTTTCGCTTTTTGTTTTCAAAATGTGATGCAATTCGGTAAAGGTCAGATGGTAGGGCAAAGCGCCATCTTTGTTAAGATTTCGAACTGGTGACGATATACCAGGTTGGTCTTCAGTGATGTGGCATGAGTTATGGAAAATGTTGCATAAGAGCAAGCAGTTGTTTCTCTGCTGAGAAATCTGCACACAAGAAAGATGTTTGTAAATTAACTTTCATTTATTTTTTATTATAGGCCAGAGTTTGCCTGAGTCTGCAGCATCTGTCTGGAATTTATAAAATACAGATGTCCCATTTTCAGAAAAAGACTTTGCTAGAGGAAAATGTACTTTATGGTCTGCCTACAACAAATTCTTGTGAAACACTTACTGTTTCAGCTGTCCTTGGGGTCACCCCTCTACTGAAGGCAACGGGCAAGAATGACTTCCCATCTGTGAGGACCCTGATTGAGTGGAACTGCAAGCTGGATCTACAGGGACAGTTCTACTGGAGGAGAGATGACTTCGAGTACACTGTAGACCCCTTTGAACTTGCTATAATGCTCGGCTACCTTAACATTGCTCGACTCTTGGTTGAAGCAGGATATCAGCGCTACCAGAAGCCATATGTCTTTGACAGAGCTCCTCTACCACGATCATTGCGGGAAAATCCAGACATGTTAGAATGGCTGAAGGAGAAATGTTCGGTTCCTGAAAGTCTGACCACTCTGGCTGTGTACACTCTGAGGCGTTGCATAGGGCGGGACATTGTGTCAAAGGTGAGGAACTTACCCTTGCCGCCCAAACTGAGGAGGATGTTGGTTCTAAAGGATCTTCTTGGACTGGATGTAGAATATTGATGGAAAAAAAGAATACTGTCCTTACCCCTGCCCCCCAAACTGAGGAGGATGTTGGTTGTAAAGGATCTTCTTGGACTGGATGTAAAATATTGATGGAATAAGCATGAAGAGAATACTGTCTTTACCCGTACCTCCAAACTGAGGAGGGTTGGTGGTTCTAAAGGATCTTCTTGGACTGGATGTAAAATATTGATGGAATAAGCATGAAGAGAATACTGTCTTTACCCGTACCTCCAAACTGAGGAGGGTTGGTGGTTCTAAAGGATCTTCTTGGACTGGATGTAGAATATTGATGGAATAAGCATGAAGAGAATACTGTCTTTACCCGTACCTCCAAACTGAGGAGGATGGTGGTTCTAAAGGATATCCTTGGACTGGATGTAGAATATTGATGTGATTTTTTGGTTCCTTGGAGAAAAAATGAAAAGCATACTCTTCTCACTTCTGAAAAGGTTGGGGCAGTTGTCAGAAAAGGGATTTTAATACCATGGATAACTGAGAATGCAAAAACTTCTGTGTCGGACTGTCACAACCGGTCCTCAAGAGATGTTGCTTTTACCCTGATAATGAGTAGAGCCAAGATTCTGAAGGACTTTCAGCTTGGATGTTGAACATTGATGTGGTTTTATGTCCTAACAAGAATGAAGTTTGGATAAATCATGACTGGATACTGATGTAAGGCACATCATGGTGCTGACAGACCCACTTACATCCAATGCCTCAGGGCTGTTGACAAATCTGTTCTTATCACTGCCATTAAAACTGATGAAAATGAAGGACTGAAACAATTCACAGAGGATTCTGAGCCTAGACACTCATATCATACACATAGATCATATATTGATGCATGTATCGTACAGATACATGACATATTGATATAAAATGATACAAACACCCTGTTGATTGGACAGTTTCGCTCCAAGCATCCACTATGTCTATAGTTCAAGTGCTAATACTCTTCTGAGATGACAAAGTTGAAATCCATGTCAGGTCTTCAGTATCAAGGTAATTGACCTCTTGGGTCATGTGACAAGGTGTCCAACCATGGATCACAGGGTCTGAGGTTCGGATCCAATCATGGTTACGGCTGCTACTCAGAGTGTAAGAAGGATATGTCTTTTTTGCAGTTTTGTGCATAATCATTATGATCTTAAAGTTTATCTTGAATTGTTAACTCATTCTGTCATCTTTAAGCAAATATTTCTTTTTGCAAATAATCCCTTCCCACTTAACATTCCCCCGGAATAACTTTACCAGTTTACTGAAAGACCAAGTAGACATTCAGGGATATAAGTTACTTTCATTCCCCAACCCCACCAGCAACCTTAGGAGTGCTTGTATTCATTCCCCAACCCTACCACCAACCTTAGGGATGCTTGTATTCAGTGCCTGTAGTGCCTGTACCTACCACAACCCTAGGAATGCTTGCATTCAGTGCCTGTACCTACTACAACTCTAGGAATGCTTGCATTCAGTGCCTGTACCAACCACAACTCTAGGAATGCTTGTATTCAGTGCCTGTACCTACCACAACTCTAGGAATGCTTGTATTCAGTGCCTGTACCTACCACAACTCTAGGAGTGCTTGCATTCAGTGCCTGTACCTACTACAACTCTAGGAATGCTTGCATTCAGTGCCTGTACCTACCACAACTCTAGGAGTGCTTGTATTCAGTGCCTGTACCTACCACAACTCTAGGAATGCTTGCATTCAGTGCCTGTACCTACCACAACTCTAGGAGTGCTTGTATTCAGTGCCTGTACCTACCACAACTCTAGGAATGCTTGTATTCAGTGCCTGTACCTACCACAACTCTAGGAATGCTTGCATTCAGTGCCTGTACCTACCAAAACTCTAGGAGTGCTTGTATTCAGTGCCTGTACCTACCACAACTCTAGGAATGCTTGCATTCAGTGCCTGTACCTACCACAACTCTAGGAATGCTTGCATTCAGTGCCTGTACCTACCACAACTCTAGGAATGCTTGCATTCCAGTGCCTGTACCTACCACAACTCTAGGAATGCTTGCATTCAGTGCCTGTACCTACCACAACTCTAGGAATGCTTGCATTCAGTGCCTGTACCTACCACAACTCTAGGAATGCTTGCATTCAGTGCCTGTACCTACCACAACTCTAGGAATGCTTGTATTCAGTGCCTGTACCTACCACAACTCTAGGAATGCTTGTATTCAGTGCCTGTACCTACCACAACTCTAGGAATGCTTGTATTCAGTGCCTGTACCTACCACAACTCTAGGAATGCTTGTATTCAGTGCCTGTACCTACCACAACTCTAGGAGTGCTTGCATTCAGTGCCTGTACCTACCACAACTCTAGGAATGCTTGCATTCAGTGCCTGTACCTACCACAACTCTAGGAGTGCTTGTATTCAGTGCCTGTACCTACCACAACTCTAGGAATGCTTGTATTCAGTGCCTGTACCTACCACAACTCTAGGAATGCTTGCATTCAGTGCCTGTACCTACCACAACTCTAGGAATGCTTGTATTCAGTGCCTGTACCTACCACAACTCTAGGAGTGCTTGCATTCAGTGCCTGTACCTACCACAACTCTAGGAATGCTTGTATTCAGTGCCTGTACCTACCACAACTCTAGGAGTGCTTGCATTCAGTGCCTGTACCTACCACAACTCTAGGAATGCTTGTGAAAAGCTGTTAAATATATGTTTTCATTTTTTACCTCTGAAGCATAATTCCTAAACCATTGAATGTTTTTTTTTAACCTTGATATACAGTTCAGGTTAGTGGTGCAGTGTGGCTTTGGATGATTTGTAATTTTCATGTATTCATATATATTTTTTCCCATGAGAATTGCAGTTTCACTGGAAATGCAAGTTGTATTTGTTTCTTGAGGAAACTCCCAAATCTTGGAATATTTCCTGATGAATTTTGTCTGTGCAATCTAATGGTCATGTGGTGCCTTTGATGATTTGTGCTATTTATATATATATTTTTTAATTTTTGTTATGGGGACAAGTTGAACTTTCACTGAAAAAGAAGGTTGTGCTCATTTCAGGGAGAGAACTCCAACACCATTCAATATTTCCTGATGAATCTTGCTATGGAGATGAATTTTGTAAAGAAGTGGTAACTTTTGATGATTTGAGGTTTTTGTGTATTTATTTATTTATTTATTTATATATATATATTCATGATGACATGTTGGACATGAAAATGACAGTTATTGTTTATGGAGGAGAACACCAAAACTGTAAGTATTTATGAATGAAACGTACTACACAGTTCAGTCTAGTGTTGAAGTGCCTAATGATTTGGGATTTTTATTTATATATTTTTCATGACAAGTTGGACTTTACTGAAAATAAGAGCAGTAGAGATGACACAACTTTATGGATGATCAACTTCTTTATTTTAACAATAGCGACGTTTCGGGATAGGTTCTTATGCCACTCAAACAAATCAATGAGAGTAGTAGTTGTTTTGGAGCAAAAAAACTCTAACAGATGAATATATCTAGATGAAACTTGCTGCACAGGCCAGTTTCATGGTTACCAGGTTGTGATATTGAACAGTAGTGAACACAGGAATATGTTTTCTCCACTAAACTCAAGTTATCCAATGGCAAGGGAGGGCGGTGGGGTAGCCTAGTGGTTAAAGCGTTGGCTCGTCACGCCAAAGACCCGGGTTCGAATCCCCACATGGGTACAATGTGTGAAGCCCATTTCTGGTGTCCCCCGCCGTGATGTTGCTGGAATATTGCTAAAAGCGGCGTAAAACCAAACTCAGTCAGTCAGTCAATGGCAAGGGACCCAAAGTGGGGCATAAGTAGCAAAACTCCAGATTGTCTTGATGATATATGTTATTTTTGGTGAAAGTCATGCGTCAAAATAAGTTTTCTATAAAAAATGTTTTACGAAATATCCTAGGACAATCATTGTTCCAAATTAGAAAAACTGCTATAAATTAGTCACATGAATGTGCCCAGAAATCTTTTGACAAATCAGCCTGATAGCAGGGTGTTGTGTCTGTCTTTGTTCATGTCAACTTGGTGCGGTGGAGTAGTCAAGTGGTTAATGTGTTTGCTTGTCACGCTGAAGACTTGGGTTCGATTCCCCACATGGGTACAATATGTGAAGCCCAATTCTGGTGTCCCCTGTCGTGATATTGCTGGAATATTGCTAAAAGCAGCATAAAACCAAACTCACTCACTCACTCATGTCATTTTGCCATGTGTAAACGTATATAATGATAATAATAATAAGTGCATTTATATTGCACTAAACTCCATTCACTAGGTGAATGCTCATAGCGCTAACAACCAAAGCACAGCACATTATTACCCCGGATAACCCAAGCTGCCTGGCAGTAAGATTAATAGTCACATGACTTATCCCACCGGGTACCCATTTTCTGCTGGGTGAACAGGGCAATTTTGAACAAACTCACTTGCCTAAGGTGAGACCACATGTATCACATGTGCCTCATTGTGGGGCAGGACTGAAGTCCTAGAAACTGAAGTCCTTTGGAGTCAAGCTGTCAAACACAGTCACCCATCCAAGTACTCTCCTCGCCCAATGTTGCTTAACTTCAACTGATTTGTGACCTGAGCTCTATGCACAGGGCCACACACCACCATAGGTGAGCTACAGAGCTTCTGTTTAAAACACTGCTACAGTAACATCCTGTTAATGCAAACTGTATATTGATATTGACTTGCAACCTTGTATACTGAGAAAATAATAGTTTTTTTGTGACAGATCAAGGGCGAGTGCCAGTACGTTACTGGGATATGTACATACAAAGGATGGAACAGAGGTCTTTGTTTCACATATTTTCTCTCTATCATAGAGCACAGGCAAATACTGGAGTTCCAGAAACTAGACACTGCACAAACTCAACTATTTATATTCTAAGCAGATTGCACGATTTCGTATGAACTGGATGGTTTGTGCAACTACCGGTCTGCCCATAACTGTCTCTGTAATTTATCAGCATATAAATGTACACCACATGAC